GATGCATACAAACATACAGACATACAAACAAACATACATATATACATACGCACACACATACATACATACATATATACATACATACATACATACATACATACAGACAGACAGACAGACAGACAGACATATATAATTACACATAAATACAAACACTCCCAAACAAAACCATATAAATAGTAGTTAAGCTTGCAAAGTGCATTTTATATGAAGCTGCAACTGCTACTATTACTATCACCACTATTACTACTACTACGACTACTACTATTGCTGTTACTGCTGCTACTACTAAAATCGCAACAACACACCCAACTACAACAATAATAAAATGTGTCCCTAGCTTTAGGCTTCAAAACCATTGACAACGGAAAGCCATTACACAAAAAACTAAACGAAAAAATATGGCAATAACAACAACAACAACAGCAACAACACAACAACAACATAAAACAATCGCATAAACCATAGGCGACATTGAAAGCATTAATACAATATTAATAACTACAACAACAATCATAAGACTGCAAAGCTAACAACAACAATATACAAATATTGAGGTATATATATATATATATATATATATATATATTCGTTTATATATCACTTTATCGACACCTCAAAGATTAAAAATGTCAGCTAATTTGCATAATTTATTTAAATCTATGCAAGGACCGCCTACGGTCAAAGCTTAAACAGCAATGGACACACACACACGTACATACAAACACGTACACACGCACGCACACTCACACATACATGATTTCGCAAAAAAAAAACAAAATCCACAAAACGAAATCGTTATCTTGTGAAAAGTATTTTTATATCTTCACGATCGATCGGAAACTTTTTTGTTATCGCAACCTTACATCATTGATACGGTATCGTTATCGTATCGTATCGTATCGTTATAGGGAGGTTTTTTTCACTTTTCTTATATGGGTTTGACCTTATATGACACGGCGTAATTGAATTGAGAGGAGAAAGCTTATGAGCTATTTTATTGCTCTGCTATGTTTTTTGGGTGTAGTTGGTTTATTTGCTGATAGTTTCGTTATCTCTGCTTGTGGGTATCCTATCGTCATCTTTGCATTTCGGTTCGGTATCGTTACTGACTTGTTATCTTTATAATCCGTCTCGTTTAGCTATCTTTACACATATCCGTTATTTTACAATTTCGTTGTGATGAAATAAAACTAAAAGATTCGTTAAAGATCATTTTGAAAATAACAACAATTATTTAACTAATTAATTGATTAATTAATAATTAACTATTTAATTTAATTGAAATGGTCATCGATCGATCATTTAATTGATTTTAATATTTTCAAGTAAGCGGTTCGGTCCTTTTGACTCCAACGCGTTATGTCACTCTTCAATACGTGAACATCACACTGGCAGCTTTCGTAGGAAATTATCTGCAAAAAAAAACTATTATTATTGTTATTATTATTTTTATTCGATAATTATTATTATTATTATTTTTATTCGATTATTATTATTATTATTATTGTTATTGTTATTATTATTATTAAATTATTATTATTTGATTTAATAATATTCACTGTCTTTTGATACTTAGTAAAAGAGTTTCCGTTGTTTGCATCGCCATTATAAGTCTTATCGTTGATTTTGAAAGGTTAATATCTGATGGTTCAATGTTTAGTGAGTTAGATCCAGAAAAGATCTGGCATCAATTTGGTTTGGATCCGGTATAGATCCTGCATAAATTCGGTATAGAATCTGAAAAAGATCCAGTATAGATCCGGTATAAATTCTGAAAAGATCCGGTATAGATTCGGTATAGAACCCGAAAAGATCCAGTATAGATCTGGTATAAATTCCGAAAAGATCCGGTATAGATTCGGTATAGAACCCAAAAAAATCCAGCATAAATCCGGTATAGTACAAATCCCGAAAAGATCCGGTATAGATTCGGTATAGAACCCGGTTTCGAATATAAAGAGACTCCAACGTATGGCATACGCTAAGGTTTGTTTGTGACAGGTTATTTCCTGCTGCCTGAGTTGAATGCTAATGTACGTTAATTAACATTAAGAAAAATAGCGCTATAAAAATATTGTGAATGAACGAATGAATGAATGAATGTATGAATGAACGAACGAATAAATGATTAAAAGAATGATTGATTGATACATTTACTAACGAGTATAGGTGGGATTTTCTGACGGTCATCATCATCATCATCATCATTCATACTGCCACTACTCATGTCTACCCATAGAATCCTGGTAGTGATATTGTTGATGTTGATGATGATGATGTTATTGATGATGATGATGATGTTGTTGTTGTTGATGATGATGATGATGTTATTGATGATGATGATGATGTTATTGATGATGATGTTGTTGTTGATGATGATGATGTTGTTGATGATGATGATGTTGTTGTTGATGATGATGATGATGTTATTGATGATGATGATAAAAAATGAAGAACAGCGTTGATGAAAATGATGTTCGCATTGAAACGAGATAAATAT